CCGTAGTGTCTCAGTTATTTTCCTCTGTGTTATTCTTGTGGTATGACGACCATATGCTCTATATTTTTGCTATTTCAGAGAACAAGCTGTTTTTTCAAGAGGGGAGAGTAATTTGGGTCCCTGATCTAGGTTTTCAAAGGTGATCAAGCATCCTTGCGATGTCTTAAGCTGGCCATCTCATGCCACTGGTAATTTATGAAACTTTCATTCTTTTACCTCTCTCCTCAGTAGAAAAAACCCACTATTTTACTGTGTATGATTAAACTTATAGAAATATCATTAGATAGAGGATCTTTGAACCAAGCTCTGTCTCATATATGCTTATATTTATGGATAAATGAATAAAATATCCACCCACAGTACTAGCATTTTAGAACTGTTATGCAAACATTCTTTCCAGTGATGTCTCAGGTATGAAAGGAGTTTTTACTAAGATTAATTACAGATTCAGGAGGGCTCAAATTCTGTGCTTTTGGTTTTCAGTGAAGAGTGGGTAAGTTCAGCCATCTGAGGAACATTCAGTCTTCTGCTTTACCTGCATGTAAAATCTGTGGTTCCCAGGCACTGGAAAATATAAAGCAAAGGTATATATTGCTTTTTAAATAAGAAGTAATAAATTGAACAATTTCCGTTAGACACCTTTTACAATCTTCACTGGCCTTGTGACCCCCTCCCACTGCGTGTCCAGCACTGGCATGTTTCTGTTTTCCTAGAATTTCCTGTTACTTTTTCTTGGTGTAAAGGGTCAAGGGCCTGCTAACATACTCTCTGCATGACACACAATTGAAAATATTTATTAATGCAACACATTTATTTTTACAGATCTGGGAGATTAAGTTTTAGTGCTTTAAGGATACCCATATTCCAAAGATTTGCTTCAGTTTTCTGAATGTGTTTTTCAGTAAATAGCCATTTGGAAACGGGAACCAGCTTTCTCTGGAAATGGTAAAGAAAGTTTTGTTAGTCTTAACTTACCATATGTTTTGGGGATATGGTTTAGTGGTGAACATGGTGGTTCTGGATTAACAGTTGGACACAGTGATCTTAGAGCTCCTTTCCAGCCTTAATGATTCCATGATTCTGTACTTCAGAGCTGCAGTTATTTAGAAAGAGATGAAATAAATGTTTTTACAAGAAGTTGCAGTTGCAGTTCATAGCTTATCTATGTTGTTCTGTGTAGAAATCAGTCCCTCTGTTCCAGTAGACATAGGCCAGATTTATAAAAACATGAAGGTGCTCGGAGTCACAGAAAGCCTTGGAGAGGTGAGAGATGTCAAAGCTCCAGCAGTCTTTGCAGCCTATATGTGAATTAAACCTGGGTTTAGGCATGACATTGTAGGCATCACACACAGACATTGTAGACATCACACACACGTGTGTTCCAGCAAATGATTGCATTGTAAAACATCTACAAAGAAGTCATTAAGATAGTGTTCCTGTTAGAAATAACTGTACTATAACAGCACTGTGGTACTCCATATTCCCTTGTATATCACTGATTCTCTCATCAATTTCTTCAGTGCAAAAGCATTAAAGACTTTTATTGCATATAGATCTTACAAGTTCACTTTAAGGTCTGACCATTAAACCAAGCTGTTTTCATCTATTTGTCATCATTTGCAGTAATGGTTCTCTAGTTTGGTGCCTGCCTTCTGCAGTCCCAGTGTTCTCTGATTAGACTCCTGTGGACACCTGTGCAGATCACACTGCTATCTCTTCCTTTCATCTAGAAAAGCCCTACAGGGCCCTATATGTGGTACAGTGAAACAGTTTCTCAAATTTATTTGTCTTATGTACAAAGGAAGTCCATATGTCAAAACAACTTTTAAAAAAAAACCCTTAAAATTTCTTTCCCCCTTTCACAACTGAATCTGATCTTGGTGAGCGTGTCCCTGCTGTTGCCTGGTACATTTTCCAAGGAAATTTGGCTTTTTCAAATCTCTATCAGGTAGAAATGGGATGGCTCCATAAGCAAAATTCAGTCAAAGTAGTAAGTTTCCTGGAGAGGAAAAGAGCCATAAAACCACTTTCAACTAGTGAGTATATTCTGCATCTGATCCACAGAAATACTGTGCATGTATTAATATCCCTTTTAAAACAGAAAAGTGAATGTTTTTACAAGAGACATTTGTGTCAATTTTGGCTATGCTAGGGAGAGTAGTTACTAGCAGATTATCTGGCCTGGCTGGAAGCTCAAACTCTCAACTTCTCAGAGAAGAGTAAGGCAAGATACTGTAAAAGGAAATTATTTGTTTCTGCAAGAAAGATGAAAGGGGAGGTAAAGATCAGCTTCCTTAAATTATTCTTTACCGAAATGGAAGAGCTCTGGTTTGTATGTATTTACACACCTAGAGTGAAAATAATTTCCCATGACAGGACTACAGTTATTTTATATTCTGAGTTTTTTTTTCTGGAGATTTCAAAATAATACATTTCTTATGATCAAGATTATACAGTTTTCTTTAATAATTTCTTAATAGGCAGTATTGTTTTCAGTGCTGCTCTTTTCTACTTCATTTTTCTGCACCCTCTTTCAACAACCCTGATGGTAAATGCATAAGGCAAGAGTAAGGCTAAGTGTTCAAAAGGGAAGAAATGTCACACTTATAAAATCCCTCTAAGAAACAACTTTTGACTACATTGTCAGCTACTATTTTTGAAGTACAATTATTATATCACTTCAGATAATTCTGCATTTTGTGCTGTTGAACATTTTTTATATGCCAGAAGATCTGGTAAATCTATTATCTGCTACTGCAGTCTCTAACCACAGGTCTCTAGTCTGTTCTCATGGTAGGGGCAAAGTATGGATATGCTGATCCACCAATATCTGAGTACTTTCTAGTGAATAATTCTGTAAGTCACAGCTGCTTTGCAGGTTTATTCTACATTACAGGTATGATTATCCAAATTTCAAGCTTGGCAGATGATCTGGGTAGCTATATTTAATTAACTGTCAAGGACAAAACAAAGCTGTATTCTGGATGTATTTTTAATTTTCCAAGATGTGAGAAAACATTGTGCAAATTCTTTTTCAGCTGTTTATTCACTGTTTTTGTTCATCATGGGCTGGCCACTGTTGTTGCATAGTGTGACTGTCAGATTTATCAACCAGTTTAAGAACATTGTGAGATGTGACTTGCATTTTTAGGATACCTGTGCATGCAGCTAAGTTAGCTTCAAAGTAAAATCTCATCTCAAAATGGAATTTAAAGCATTGCTACTGCTTGAAAAAAGTCTATATAGTATATGGCTGCTGACAAAAAAAAAATTTACTGAAGAAAGATGAGGATTTAATCAGAGAAAAGTTTGTTGCTAAAGACATAGTGGACTATTATGGCAGTGAAAAATATTATGTAGCATTATAATCTGTCTCTGACTTTGTGGGAGAAAAAGTATGATACTGACAAGTAAGTGATTATGTAATTAGACTATACTGTAAACTGTACAAAAAAGATGTACAGCTAAAAAGATTTGGAGTTTCTGGTCTGCCATGTGGCATTCCAAATGTAGTTTCCTGAAAAATCTCAAAGTTGAAAATCTTTTACTATGTCAAGAAAAAATATTAAAAAATAAAGTTCCATTATGTGGAGTAAGCGTTATCACTGCTAGAAGACTTGGTTTCATGTGCTTCAAGGAAACCTTCCCCTTTCCTGTAAAATTTGATGCAGGTTTTATTGCAAAAGACCTGTGCTTTTTGTGGAAGCTCATTTCAAACCTTTAAAAAGTAGCTTCCTTTATGCAGGGCCTTCTGGTGGAAGATGTGGAAAAAGGCTGTTCAGAAAGTTTTCACCAGGTGGGACCCAGGGTCTCTCTTCTCAGTTTTCATGGGAATTGAAGTCTGGACTAGAGATAAGAACAAAAATCAGGCCTTTCAGCCCCAGTGAAATACTATTTTCCAGATGGAGTAAGAGAAGTGGGGCTCCTGCAGCTGTGATATTACCAGGGCTCTGTCTGTGTATAGACCTTTGGATGACTGTAATTGCATTGTTGGTTAAGATCATTAGCCTCTGTGTGGTTCACAAGCTGTATAAGTGTGTCCTTAGGTTCACAGTGGCTAAATTTTGCTTTCCGTTCTGCCCTTCTAAACCAAAGACAGTACAGTTAGTTTTACTGCTGACTTCAGCAAGCATAAGCAAAAGCAGTTCCCCTGAATAAAAATTTGTGGGCCACTTGGAAACACTTCTTAAACATCACTATATAGAATAAATGCACGTTTTTCTCTCTTGTCCATAGCTGTGCCCTGACAAATAATTTTATTTGTAGCCCATGATGGAATATCACAGTTGTATCAAAGTGTCACTGGAATGGAAATTTACATAATAGAAACATCCCTGTGTTCTTTAAAGTGATTACTTATTATTTTTTTAATCTCAGTTCTTATGGTAGCTGTGCTTAAAATCACCATTTCCATTGTTTGAGTTGGATGACCACATTGCAAATTGTATTTTGTTATCACTTACTGGTGGATTTCTTACACCTTTCCCTGGAGCATCTTCCCTGCAGGAGACAGGATGTGAGACTAAGTAGCCTGTGGTTCTGATCATGTTTGGCAGTTCCTGTGATCCTGAGTTTGGGTACTGTATTGGAGCTTTGAAACTCTTGCATTAGATGGGATATGGGTGTATTGCCCCAGGGATGCAAAGCTAAAGTACCAAAGGAACAAATTAACAGGATGTCACATTAAAATAATTTTTCTACTCTAATTTAGGTAACTAGATTAATGTGAGTTCATTTAGGAATACTTAAATGTAGCATAATCACATCTAAATGATGTACAATATCAACAATAATTAAGGTAGAAAAATCAAATTTATGTAAAAAGGAGTCTAGACTTTCAGTGTTTGTACACCTCAAATACATCCGCTGAAAGAAAGTAGAGTCAAAAAGGAATGGTTTAAATTCAAAATCATGCAGTAAACATGACTTTGACTTGGAGTCTTTCTGTAAGGAATTTTTTAACACTTGACATTGTCTTCTGGTCTATTTTCCATTGCCAGGGCTTGTCAAGCCCTTCAGTCCACTTGAAAACACTTTACAATTTCTGGTAAGTACTAAAGTAGTGTGACCACCATCTATAATAATAATTCCTGAAAATTTGTGTATTTTAAATGTTTTTTTAAATGTGTGTGCTGTGGTTCTATTTTATAAAATGTGTGAATGTCACAGTACCTTTTGGCATGGATGTTTTAACTGCAAAGCAAGTTTTAAGGGTGAAATGCAGAGATGGGCTAGAAGAAAAAGAACCTTTGAAGCTTGTGATGTAAGTGAAATAGACTTAATATATGACTTAATAAAGTGGAAAAACTAATTTTCAAATGTTGGTTGAAAAGCAAGGAATTACATTCACTGGAATAGGTCAGGTTACCTTGAGAGTACTAGCACTATTAATTCAGCCTGGATAAACAGCAAAAATATCTATTTTCATTTTTCCAGAACAGATTTCTTCTACTTTTTAATTTCATTATAAAGAAAAAAATACTGTTTATCTATCCAGGAACAAAATTCTCTAGGAGAGTGTCAATGGTCTTTACTGTGTACCATTTCATCTTGCTGCAATACAATTTTAAAAATTATTATTTGATTATTTAACTGTGACTATTAAGTCACTTGAACAGTGGAGAACTAAAGTGAAAATTCCAAATGATACTTGATAGGTTTTGATGCTACATGAAAAGGAAAAATCATCCATTGACTGATGACAACCTGCTGTTTGAAATAAGCATTTACATTAAGACTTAAGGCTTTAGGTGGTTATTGCATTTCATTGTACAGCTTCCTGGAAGTTTACCTAATTTTAGTGGTTCTATTATATTGCGCAGAATAAACCCAGTTTCCTGTCTCCAAACTTTCTCTCTGTAATTGAGCAATCACCTGGCTGAAATACAAGCTATTGACATGTAAGAGGAACAGACAGGTATTTAATCAAGACTCTGCTTCGATGGAAAATGAACCACTGCATTATATTGCTCACATCTCTCAATAGAGAATAGAGAATATTCACCTTTGTGCCAAAATTTTCATCATGTGAACTTTTGGATTCAGAGCTTTTCTAAACCCCTGTTTAATTGGTGAGAGAAATTCAACGCTGAGCGTGAACATCCGAGTGATTTATAGCCCATTCAACACTAGTGGTGTGGTAGTTTTGCAAAGGATGAGATCATAAACAAGCAGAGAATTTATCCTAATTAAACTATATATGTATACTGTGCCTAATACAAAAACAATCCAGAAGTAAACCAAGAGAAGTCATTATTAGATTCTGTTCCTCAGAAGCTTGTTTTGTTTGCCTTTAATACTCATCTTACAAATGCTGTTGAGAGATCTACCCTTAAAATATCTGCTAAAGAAAAATAAATTACTGCTTGAACTTTCTTAGATTGCACAAGCTCTTTTAAAGGAAATGTAATGAAATAAGGAAAACTAAGATGATGGGTGAAGAAAACATGAGTCAGATTAAACAGGACAGAATGAGTTGGAGAATGTCAACAATGGAGACTTCTGCTGAAGCTGCACTACTGTACATGTGGATTTGTCATGGCTTACCTAAGCCCCACATCCACACAGTGCTTGTTCACTCCCCCACCCGCAGGACAGAGGAGAAAATCAGAAAAGTAACAGTCAGAAAACTTGTGGGTTGAGATAAAGACAGTTTAATAAACAAACTTGTGGAAAGCAAAACAAGGAATTTGTTCACCAGTTCTCACAAGCAAGCAGGTATTCAGACATCTTCAGGGAAGATCTCCATCAGGCAAAATGGTCACTTGGGAAGACAAAAAACCATAACTCCAAACATGTCCCCCTTCCTTCTTCTTCCCCCAGTTTCCATGCTGATCACAGTGTCATATGATGTGGAATATCCCTGTGATCATTTGGGGTCAGCTGTCCTGGCTGTGTCCCATCCCAGCTTCTTGTGCTCCTCTGGTCTACTCTCTGGTGGGGTGGGGTGAGAAGCTGAAAAGGCCTCGATGCTGTGTAAGCCCTACTCAGCAGTAACTAAACCATCTCTGAATTATTAATGCTGTTTTCAGCACAAATCCAAAACCCAGCCCCTTACAAGCTACCATGAAGAAAAATACCTACTTCAGCCCAAACCAGTACAAAGTGTCAGTTTGCTGTGAGCGTGGGAGGATGTGTACAGAATGCAGTAAAACTGTCCTGAAGTGCATTTCCCACACAACTGATAGAAAAAAAGTCTTGCAAAAAAAGGAAGTGACAATCCATGGACTCTTCCAGTGTTTTAGCACAGCAGATTTTCTCCCGTCAGGCATGAGAATTACAAATGGAAGTGTATGCATTTCTAGGGACAGTAATGTCACCAAGGTGAGTCACCTCAGAAGAGAACAGTTGGTGAAAGTGCTGTGTTCTCCTTGAAGGAAAAGGCGCCAGTTGGTGGCTGAATATCTCTCTAGCTGGTTAACAGGAAGCTCATTCAGAGACTGTCTGAGTCAGCTATCTTTTGATCCTGCTACTTAAACAGACTGCCTGATGCCCATCCCAGAGAGAGGCTGCCTAGGAGAAAGTTTGTGTATGATATCAGCTGCTTTATCTGTGGGTGAATTAACTTGGTCTGATTCCATCAGTATAGCAACTTTCAGCAACTTTCAGTTCTTAGAAAGTAAAAGGTTTTAGACTGACTGAGGTGGTGCCTGTAACCCACAACTTCTGTACCATTAGCCTTTATTATTAACTCTGGCAAGATCTATTTTCCAACTTTAGTTTCTCAGTAGTAAGTAGTAATTATTCAAGGCCTAGACTTGAGATACATAAAATAACCAGCAATATCATACTCATTAAGCTGTTAGTTTTCAGCAGGACACTTGTGATATGGCTTCCTGTCTTCCTGACTTCCTCCAACAATCTCTTCCACCAGCTGTGTCTCTTATGGCCTAGAAACTGCTGTCTGCAGCCTGGTGGATGGCTCATTTGACATGTCTGTGATGTTGTGAAGTTTGTGTAGGAACTGGATAAAATGAAGAGAAGGTTGGCTGGTCTGACTGTCTACAGAGGAGCTTCAGGTCCGGGAAAGCTTTCTCTGCATTAGGACTGCAGTAATTGGAAGAGAAGAAAAGTAGAAGGCAAGGACAGCTTTGTGGTGAGGTAGGGTAAGGGAGGCAGCAGAGACTGGATGGAGATGGCTGAAGTGCATGTGCTGTTGGAGTATAGCAATATTAGTTCTCGGTGCCATATTCGAGTCTTTGAGAACTTTTAAGGAAATCATTTACTGTCAGCGTTTCCAGCCTTAGACTTTTAGCACACAGGCTCCTCCTAATACTTGCAGGCATTAGCTGTTCCTGCTTTTGGAAAGTTGGAGGGAGAAAACAGAAGTAGAGGAGAGATATGGAAGTATCTGTCTCCTTGTGGATGAAAAGAGTGAGGCATCTTTTCCTCCCCTCCCAAACCTGAGTCTTTTGTGGAGCTCATGCTAAGTTATAGAAAACTCTGAATAATTCTGCACTCTGTGAATGTCAGCTGCTTTTTACAATAGATTCATAATGTTCTCAAATACAGTGGTGAAACAATGGTAAGGTAAGCACTGAAAATTTCTGATACATTTTTAAGTAAAATGAGAGAGAATTGCCCTTAAAATTGCATTAATGAAAAGTCATCCCTTTAAAATAGAGGAGAGAGTTATTTTTATGCAAGTGCAGATTTTTGATGCCAAGACAATAAAGAAAAACCACAGTTTGTTCCATTAAGCTTGTATCATATTGTCAGCACTTGCCCATATGGAAAACATATAAATTGTCATGAAAACATGAAAATGGGACAATTTAGTAATGTTTTGAGTAGGCTTTATAAATATCATATGTATTTTTAAATACATAAGTGATGCAGTTTTGAACACAAAAGAGCCACAGTTGTGGCAGCCAGATTTTGCTGTGTTCCCAGAGCAGCAAAATTAGCAGAGCTGCAAATTTAGTTATTCAAAAGTTGAAAATTTGGAATAAGTCAGAAGAAGTATTAAGAGATTTGGTGGGAAACCAATAAAAGCTAAAAGCGGCACAAATACACATTCTTTTTTCTCACCAGAGGTCAGAATTTGTGTGTGTGCTTTTAGATTTAACTGAGCTTTTTTCTTTTTTATGAAGACTCAGTCATTAAGCCTGACAGCTTGGTGTCAGGGGCATATTTTCACCTCGTGGGTGGCTGAAGTTGTGGTATTGTTGGGCAAAAGGTAGAAATGTGAGCAGCTCTGTGACCTTTCACCGTGTTATGAGCTTCTGTAAGTCTGGAAAGTCCTAAGGCTGGGTCTACAGGTTTATTCTTAACCTGCTTTTAAACATACCAGTTGTACAGAATGTCAGAGCTCAATAGGTATGAGTGGAAAAATGAGGCTATGCATTAGCTGAGAATCTGGCTCATTATGCAGAGGGGAGGAATCAAAAGCATCTTTGTGGGTTTTTCCCCCTTACCTTGTTCCACTACATGTCTTCCCTGTAGGTTTTGTGTTAAATTTGTGATGGCCTCAGTTTCAGAAAAAATAATTTTGAGCATTGTTGAGTATTGTGATGTGTGTATTTCAGTAATTGATGCAGGCCAGAGACTAGGAGGTGGTTGGCAAGTAGTAGTGTTATTTTGGGATCCGCTCTGCCTGGGATTCCTTCACATGCTAATCATTCAGTAGCTTTCTGCCAAAATCCTTTCTGACTTGATTCCCTGTTTGTAGAGTCAATAACATTCCTTTCTTTCCCACCTTGTATAAACCTTTCCTGATGAAGTTTAAAGTCTCCAGAGCACATCACACATGCCTAGCTGAGGTCTTGTAGTACTACTCCAGTGCACCTTCTAATGTATTAAATTGTCATTCACTGGTGTTCTGGGTCTTGAAAACAATGTCACTTGATTGTACTGACTTAGCCTGTGAGTCTCCTGAGGCACCATCTGAATGAGAATAGCTCACATCTCTTCTCCACCAAGGCCAGCTGGGTGTGCAAACCTCACCTTTTTGTCTCTCCCTGCAGATTTGTGACCTACCAAATGGGGGTATTCCATCACTGGAGAAGCTGTGCTTCCAGCTGTGGATTTTTTACTGTTTTTCCCCTG